CTAAACCACCGACAAAGTAATTACTAATATACTAACAAATAATATTATTGTTGCTTTAGACAGCAATCACGCTATATAGGCTAAGCACGCTCTTTATTAACCTCCGACGTATGTTAAATACGTGTTATAAATTTAACGTATGTATCTATCTATGACAACATAGCTCCTAAACGGGTGGACCAATTTTGGTTTAGTTCGTTTTGATTGAATCTTCTTGGCAATAACTTTTTGCGGAGCATCAGCTCTTTTCTAATCGTTAAAGTAATTTTTTAAAACGGGTGACATTAAAGCTTTAATTGATATGTTCACCATGCCAAATCAGGCCTATCCCAGGGGAGAACACTTCCCTCCTTAGGCCCCGAGCCCTAGGATACTACCCTGCGTACTCCGTAATACCCTAGAGTATTTAAAACATATTAAATCATCTAATTTTAGAACATTTGTTAAACAAAAGATAAAAAGTAAACTATAATGTTTACGTAATAATTATGATGTCATACCTGTAATTAACTCCATTCAGTCCAAATGCAATACACCAATATGAAAATACAATCACATTTGTAATTACACTGATTATCCACAAAAATAATCAGTTAATTAATATTACAAAAAGTCTTTGACATTGAACAAGAGTCTTTTATTCAGGTAGTCTTTTTTTAAATTTAGTTATTCAAAAAAATATTGTCTATTATTAAAAAAAAAAGACTAAAATGTTCACAGAATACGTTTAACTATATTCAAATTTAGAATCAACACACGTGTAATACTGTTCGTAATTCAAAATACACAGCGCCTGTTCTCTTTAATTCGTAAAATAATATTTTGTAGCACTTAAAAACCATTTTCACACACACAAGTAAGGTTTATACACAGACAAAAAAGTTATTCACAAATTCATATCAATTTTTTTTTGCATTTTTAACACAAAAAATTGCAAAAAAAAGTATTTCCGAACATATTTAACTGGTTCTTATTTTTTTTAATAACAACACACCAGCGACCTTCTCACTGTGTAGTACGATAACAAATTACACTAAAAATACGCTCAAACCAATCTATTTAACACGGCCTTGTAATAATTTCGGTTTAAGCAACATTTAACCGATTGTTTTCAAAATTGGGTATATATTTACGAAGCGGTGCGGTTATGACTGGACGCGAACGCCGAGTGCGGAACGGCATGCAAAGAATTACAGTGTTGGTTTACATGACGCTGTTTGGATGAGAAAATATTTTTTAGCAATTGGTGTTTTAGTATGTTACACATTACTTACTATCCGTGTGGATTAAGAATACGGAATGTCACCACCCCTATTCATCTCATCACGTGGGTGTCGTAAAAGCCGAATAAGGGAACAAACTGCACAGGACAACAGCACTGCAAAAAGAAGGAAAACTTGAAACAAACCCTATATCAACCCGTCTGGCCAGCGTAGTATAGTGGGCCAAAATCTTCTTTCTGAGGAGAGGCCTATGTCCAGCAGTGGACTATTATAGGCTGTTGATGATGATGATGATGTTACACATTTAGCTCACACTAAATAAAATTGAGGACCTGAGAATGATGAAATTTGACTTAGTTTTTGGAGTATGACAGAAGGGCGCCGTAGATGTCGATTTTAAATAGGGAATCTATTTAATATGCGGCCACCAAACCAACTGCGGCGCTAAAAAAGAAAGTGGGAAATAAGTAGTACTAACAAAGTTTTTTTTAACACGTCTATTTTGGTTCTCATGGCAGAGTCATAAAGTACACCAGTAATCGTTAGAACTACTCAGTGTACAGTACAAAATTACCAAAAAAAGTCTGGAACGCAGTCTAATACTGTAATTTTTGTTGCCTTTCACTGAGTGAGTGAGGTTACCGGAGTTCAAATCCCTTTCCCGCTGACTCTAAGGACAGCAACGCACTTATGACTTTTGAGTTGCAGGTGTCCATAGGCGGCGGTAGTTGCTTACTATCAGGTGACCCGACCCGCCTGCTCGTTTGCCCCCTTATACCATAAAAAATATATATTTATATTTATATATATATACTATACTGGTTAAAATTACTTACCATTTCGATGCCGGTCATGAAACAAGAAAAAAAGAAATTGTTGGTGCTAAAAGCCGCGACACTGCAGTAATTAGGGCATTGGATCGGTGCTGACTTGAGTTTTCAATGCCGAAATTCAACTTACTTGAAGGAACAGTATTCAATTCAATGAAGCGGTAGTACTCACTGATGAGGAAGATATGCTTTAAATCTCCCTTCATTACCTGTGATGTGAGTATTGACACTACGCATAATTTCACGCAAAGCAGTAGAAAAAATATGTACACATATAAAACGTGTTACATTATATTTTAGTGTATTATGGTAAAGCTCGACTCATATCGGCACCAATTTTTATTTTTATTTATTTAACATTTTCCGTGTGGTGACGGATTAAGAATACAGAGTGTCACCACCCCTATTCATCCCGTGGATGTCGTAAGAGCCGACTAAGGGAAAAAACTACGCAGAACAACAGCACTGCAGAGAGAAGGAAAACTTGACACAAACCCTATACCAACCCGTCTGGCCAGCGTGGTATAGTAGGCCAAAACCTCCTTTCTAAGGAGAGGCTTATGTATCCAGCAGTGGACTATTAAAGGCTGTTGATGAACATTTTACAATGCAATTTACAATTATTGATTATAATAGTGCATTTGAAAACCACTGGGGTTTGTGGAAATGCAACAGATGCTACATCAAGCGAAGTTGATAAAAACTAACACCATACAGTAAACACATCCGGTAAAAATGCGTGCGTCATTATGTAAGTACTTATATTCTCTAAGCATGCGGGCGTAGAACGGTGAAAGCGTAGATCCGAGTCAGGCATGGAGAGGAGGAGGGATTACTTACAAACATGACTGGGCCATTTTTTCCAAAAAGATTCCCTTCAAAAATTATGTTTGATATTTTTTTCGTTTAGGCATTTATTTATATCGGAGGGTAGTTCATTAATTAATCGCGGTACTATGTATCGTGTTGTTCTCTCAACAAACACGTTAACAGCGCGTGCCGATTGCAACCTGATTCTTCTACTTTATCACCCAAATTGTATTTAAAATAGTTTTCGTTCAACAAGCTATATTTTGTTTTTAGGTGAATGGGTAGAACTTTAGTGTTTAAAAAGATTCAGCTCATTGTTACTGTATTGTAAAATCTGTGGAGATATTATTGTCTTTAATATCTTTAGTTGCAATCTATATATAACATTTATGTGAGTCTTGTAAGTTCGCCAATAGCTGGTGAGTCCATACTGAATATAAGACTCGGCTAGGGAGTTATAGAGTAATAATTTAACACGATAAGAGATACGACAATTTAAGATTTAATTTAATGTTTGCCAGAAAACATCTGAGCTTATCAAATGACGTCCTTTGACAAAATTTTATTTTTATGGTACAGGTGGACGAACAAGAAGACAGGTCACCTGATGATAACTACCGTCGTCCATGGACACTTACAACTCAAGAGGCACAAGTGCGTTGTCACCCTTTCAATCATTCTGGTCGAGCCTGGCCTATTTCTGCCTAAGCAAGAGTCTCTCACGGTTAATAAGATTTACATAGACTTGTTGCGTCAGAGTCACTACATTTTAGTCCTCCTATTTAGTCAATAATAAATAATAATCATTTATTTCGCAAGAAAGAATTGCAGAAGTACATTAACATTAAAGTTATAATTTTCTTGTGGGTACATAAGTTTTGAACCCTGACATCCAAACTAGGTACAGACCTGTGTTTTGGGAATCAATCATTCCCGAAACATATAAATCATGACGACCCCTCTACAGGAAAAACATTCGAGATTTTCAAACGTACGTAATCTATTCTATAGCCGATTGCATGATCTTCCGTCATGGTAAACATTGTAATGAATCACTGAAGCAATATTAAACACAGGTGATATTGTTTGTCGATACTATGAGAAGGATTATCATCACAGAGTACTATTGTGATAAGTTCTTACGCAACACTACATATTTATATTCTATCGTGGTAAGAAACATTATGCATTTCTATTGTCATTGATCCATTCGCGTTCAGTGAACAGTCATAACATATAGACAGTTTAAATACATACATAGTGAGTTGATAACTCTTAAGAATACGGAATGTCACCACAGTGTCGTGAGAGCCGATTAAGGAAGCAAACTACGCAGGACAACAGCACAGCAAAAAGAAGGAACAGTTTACACAAATCCTGTACCAACTGGCCTATACCGTCTGGCCAGCGTTGATTCGATTGTTTTGTCAATATAAATTGATTGGACGTTAGTGATATATTGTGTGACGTGCATGCGTAATACTTCCAAACTTTAACGATTAATGTAAAAGAGAGTTTATTTGTTTGTTACGCCTTCACGCTTAAACCACTTAACCGATTTAAAAAAAAACACCAATGGAAAGCTACATCATCAGCGGGTCACATAGACTAACGTTTTTTACCGCGATAATCAACATACACGCGGGTGGAACCGAGGGCAAAGGCTAGCAATAAATTTAAGAGGCTTTGTTTTGTTGTCGTCTCCATGTAAACGAACTCTTAACTAACAATGCGCAACAGTAACTAACTGTGGTACAAAATAGTGTTCGTTAAATATAATTGTTAAGTACATGTGAGCACAAAAGTCATTGCGCTGAACAGTTTTTTTTTAGATGAAACACGAAGTGGCGTCGACAGAAATAGTGATATGAACTTTAAAGTCCACTTGTAAGTTAAGGATTTTTATCAAATAAATTATAATACTGACTTGACAGGCAATCAACAATTTTTTTTTATGGTATAGCGGGGGCAAACGAGCAATCGGGTCACTCCTGGTGGTAAGTGTACTACCGTTTCCCATGAGCGCCTGCCAACCTTTATTGCCTTTTAAGTATATCCTTGTAAAGTCAAATAATTTTCTGTATACAATTAGATAATTATGTAAATTACGAAACAACACCAGACTTAATATATTTTTTCATAATTTAGCTGCATGTAAACCCAATGTAAACTCCACAACACTATTGTCAGTATCTGTACTGGAACAGTATCTATCTCTGTCTTTCACAAAGAAAACATCATCCATCCTTATCTATCAGCGAATGATTAACTTCTATTACTCAACTTTATCGAAATTTCTACCTTATTTTAAAGTAGTAAAGTTTATTTTACAAAAACATACAACGGTACAAAGATGAACTGGAGTAATTAAGTAATAGTAATAGATTTTGAACTTAAGGCAAAGAACTATAAAGCACATTTTAGATAATTCTCAGTTCATGAGTAATTGTTTAAAAATATTATGTTACTTGCAGGAACTGTTTGACTCATTAAGTTTAAATGGAGTGGAATGCTTTAAAACTGTATTCAATATGTTTTTTTATGCGGATTTTATTATTATAATGATCGTTAAAGATCCTAGACATTAGTCGCGTGTTCGATTCCCATCCAGGACAAATGACTGTGTGTTGAACACGATAATATGTATGTATTTAAAACTTATAGCCAGACTTCTGATAAAAATATTATCAGAAGTCTGGCTACCAGAAGACGAAGGGTGTTATTCCCTTCTGATCTCTGGCTCCTCGAGGACATAGGCGCCAGGAGTATGTGGTCTTTAAATAAAAACCACCCCGACAGCCGGTTTAAGGCTCCCTGCTCTAGTAAAGACCCGGACCATGTTGTTTCCATACTAAGTGAATGTGAATCCATACTAAGCAATGATTAGAACACCAACTAGCGCCATCTATGTAAACCTATTTGAACTACTTGCTAAACTTAAACAATCATAGTTTTTTGCGTCTTTTTCTATAAGTATCAACTTTTCTTTTACGGTTGTATTGTTTTAAGCCGTTTTTATTTGAAATACCTCTAGATAACGACACTTCTATAGTTCTAAATGTTTAAATTGACAAATAGTCTTTTTACGTCTTTTTTAATGGTGTATAATTGTGTTTAAACTGTTATTTTTAAAGTTAGTTTTACCTAAATTACGATAGATAGCGACACTTTTGTAGTTTTTAAAACAATATTATGCAATACATTAACAGTAACTAACACAGTTTATTACATAAAAATGAGAAAAAATTTAAAACTTGACACAAACCCTGGCCACCAAGCTGTGTAGCCAGCGTGGTGGCCAGCAAAAAACCTCCTTTCTAAGAAGAGGCCTATGTCCAGCAGTGGACTGTTATAGGCTGTTGATGGTGAAATAAAAATGTGTCGCAAAGAAGACAGAAATCTTATTTTGTAAGTGACGAATTAACCTTGAAAATTGACAGATAGAGAAGTAAAATTAACTGAAAATTAAATTCGTACCTTATAGTTAATTATCCATACTAATATTATAAATGCAATAGTGTCTGTCTGACTGTCTCTTTCTATCTGTCTGTTACCTCTGCACGCTTAAACCGACTTAGATTAAATTTAGTATAGAGATGGTTTGGGTCCCAGAAATCATACTTTAAGGGGTTGAAAAGGGGGGTGGAAGTTTTTAAGGGGATTCAATAACCGCTGAACCGATCTAGATGAAATTTGATTTTTGTTGAAGTTTGTATGGAGAATCAATAACAGATGAAATTTACCACAGAGATAGTTTGATTCTTAAAATAGTCTTTTTACCGCGAAAACCGATATACACGTGGACGGGCAAACATAAACGAAAAATTTTGCTGCAACACGCAGGTACAGTAGTTAAACTTATAAAACCTCTGCAATTGACTGTTGTCTCACGTGACAAAGGGGGTGATCTTATGTCCGTCTGTATGCACGCATTTTATATTAGGTATATTCATACATGCGTGCATAGACGGCCATTTATAAGGTCCCCCCCCTTTTTCCTGACTGCTTAACCAGAGGTTCAGTTCCCACCAAGGACAAATAAAAAGCCGTGTCGTATCGTGGGACACCCGATAGGAACGAAGTTGTGACGATCGAGTAAAACTGATTCGACACGATTTTAATTACAAATTACAACCATCTATGAAAGCGGCTATTACCTACATATTTTTCAGTTGGTTTCTAATTAAAACAATTTATACATTGGTAAAATCTCCTTGAGAAATGATTTCCTATCTATTCGATAGATGGCGCTGAATGACTGACAAGTGACAATACAAAATAAAAAGTGTCGTTACAACTTTTCGTGAGATTTTTTTCCGTCTAGCCTCCTTTTACAACGCGCGATAAGGAACTTCGTTCCAATTGCTTGATAATTAGGATCATTTGATTCGTGTCTGGGTGTTACTTATAATATCATAATTAAAAAACCCCGGACACAAAAAAACTTTAAAAAACAACAACTGCCCATTGAGACTGTTCTAATAAGCTCAAACATGGTATATATGCTGTGATTTTCTGAGGAGTTGTCTATCCCGCAGACTACTTGATGCAGCAGCAAGTTCCAGGTTACCATGTCGTGGAAATACCATCAAAGTAATAGTAAACCAAATTTCAGATCAATCGGACCTGTGGATTTTAGTTAGATCCCTTCATCACCTACGAAGTGAGCTGATGATCCTCAAAATTCATAGCTAGAACTATATCGATCACATCGGCTTTCAAATAAAAAAAACCCAAATCGAAATTGGTCCATCCGTTCGGGAGTTATTATGCCACAGACAGATACACAGGTTGAATATATAACACCCCTCGTTTTGGGTCTGGGGTTTAAAAGTATGGCCAAAATAAGCATCGATACTTACATTTTCTCGATCCAGGTCCAACTGATTGTCTCTTTTCGGCAACGTGAATGTAATACCACCCTCATTTCTTGTTTTATTCTTTTTCAAATCCGTATTAAACTTAATGTCAGTTTTTAATTTTGACACTAATATCGGTTTTGGCATCAAAGTGACAGACTTCTTAATACCGGCCTCCGGAAATCCGTTCTCGAAGTTCTGCCGCAATTTTGCAAAATCGGTGCTTGTCGGTTTTTCCGCTGTTAAAAGGGGTTCTTGTGATGTTGAAGGGGGTTCTTGTTGTGTGTAAGGGGGTTCTTCTGATGTTAAAGAAGGTTCTCTTGTTGTTAACGAGGGTTTCCTTGATGTTAACGGTGGTTTTTCTGGTGTTAAGAGAGGTGGTTCTGGTGTTGGGGAGTCTTCGCATGGAACATCGTAAATGTTCTGATCCTGGAAGAAGAAAAGAATACGTTATCACAGAAGAATATCCAGAAGAATAACAGAAAATTTACTACACAAGCGAGAAGAAGTGTTGAGATACTCTTTTGTGGCTTTTAACGGAGTGAATGTGGTGTCCGTAGACACAACTCTAAGGGTGCCAATATACTAGTGTCCTTTGACTTGTGGGTGCTCGCAAGTTGAAATGAGTAGATATAATTAAAAAAAAATCGGTTGTCTGTAAAGTCGGTTTACTGACGATAGTTGAACGTGACAACGTCATAAGAAAATACTGATGGAATGGTTGCATTTTACGAAAACATGTAAATGTATTATTGTATAGCAGCTGTCCACGCGGACGCATCGCTCACTCAAGTAGGAGAGAGACAGATGTCAAACGCTGCCGAAGACCGATTGTGCCTCTTTGTCGCTCGTTCAGCGCTCTCGCTTGCACTTCAAGCCTTAAATGGAACGCCTCAGAGCGAGGTAACGCCGCATGAGTCATGTTTTTTCGTGCGTGCAGCCGTCTCCATCGAATTATAAGACGTTGTCACGTCAAAAAAAAAAACCCGATTGCAAAAGACACTTTAAATTAAAATATGGTCATGATGTATCAGTTTAAAACTCATTAAAAGGGCTCATGCCTTTAATTTAATACCCATATTGCAGTATCGCAAAGATATATTTTTTTACTTTAAACTACAGCGTCTGACAGTCGCCATGTTGTTTTTTTTTTTTGCGTCACCTATCTAAGAACGCTTGGGTTACCAAGACGAATCTAACGATATGTTACTTAAATAAATTCGTGCAGCGTTTTGGAAGATACGAGGTAATAAAGAATATTACATGCATACAAACAAGATACGCATTAAAAAGGCATTTTTATATAATAATATATATATATAATAACTATGAGAAACATAAGTCACACTATTAGAAACTTATCACAAGTATTCGTGTTAATAATCGGCATCCTACTCATCGGTAGTGTAGTAAGGATTCGTTTCAAGTCACCGTCTATTAATTTATTTTTTAAAGGCTAGAATATATCCCGTGTCGCGGGAGACTTTACAGACATACATGAAAGGGACACAAAGAACACCCAGACTTTGAATGATCTGTAAGTGTTGTCCCATGTGGGGAGCGAACCCACAACAACCCAGCGCTGTATGAAACGCCGAGGTGACCGCTTAAACCACTCCGCAATTCGTGCAGTCAATTATTGCTTGTTTTGAACTGAATTAGTTTTCTAAGTGTGTATTTATGTATCTATACTAATATTATAAAGCTGAAGAGTTTGTTTGTTTGTTTGTTTGAACGCGCTAATCTCAGGAACAATAGGAGCGGAGCACCAATGAAGAATGTTTCAAAAACGGAGAAAATTTATTACTATTGAGAGACGCAGACGAAGTTGCGCGGGTCAGCTAGTGTAATATATCTCTACATGCCATGCCTGCTGTACTATTTAGGCGATTCAACCGTGGGATAGTTACAACTTAAGTATAGTTAAAACTGAAAATATTGTCTACTAAGTTCTGGGAAAAACAGTATGAATTGTCATGACAAACGAGTGTCGTTTTAAATTATACCAGCTGGTAAGAAATAAACGTGAAAGCAAAGCCGTGGGCTATAGCTTGTATTGTGTAACAAAAAACGGTACATATTCAGAGAAAGTGTCACATGAAGTGTACAAATACGTTTTCGGAACATCATTAACACAGATTTGGAGAGTAGTGAAAGGCCTATTCTTAAAACCACGGTATCATCTCGACATTGAATAGATCATATGAGGAGGAACAGGTGTATTTCCTTCCAACAAAAAGGGATCCTTCGATCAGGTGATCATACGTAACGGGTCGCGGCTTATTGGTTGATGTTGAGAAGTTATATATTATTATTATTTTATGTAAGAGGGGGCAGACGGTTTCTTTTCTTGAAGGTTCGGAAATACCGCAGACGATAACCCGTTCCACAGATTGGTTGTGCTTGGCAAAAAGTGTCTCGAAAAGCGCACAGTAGTGGAGCGCCAACTATCCAGGTAATGAGCCACATCTCTACGTAACGCCAAGGGATCCAGGTAAGGAGGATTTAAATTTTTGCCGTGTGGAACGATGGCGGCAAGTTGCGGCTGGTATTAGTCCGAACAATTCCTCCGAGCACTCCCCATGATATATTTGCGATAGAGAATGCAGAGTGAAGCCACATCTCTACGAAACGCCAAGGGCTCGAGCATATTATACACTATACACTAATCATTCTTTTCTATCTCTATAAGACAACTCCCGCACTAGGAATATATCCTGTGTCGCGGGGGACTTTACAAACATACCTGAAACGGAAACAAATTGCTCCCAGACTCAGAACAACAATTTGTGTATTATACAAATCCCGAACCCACATCACTCAGCGCAGTAGAAAGCAGCGAGGTGACCGCTTAAACCACTACCATACATGCAGTCGCCGCAAATACTTTCATTGCGCGATTTCGGATAAGTAGTTACTCCTTAGTTTAGTGTGTCTTCGTTAGATGGCACTGTGATATGTTTTTAACTGTAATAGCTTTTTAATAAGTTTTAGCTGCTTTCTTTTAGTGCCAGCTGCCTGCTTGACGTCAATCGTCCTTGGCTTTATAATTGCTTTCAGACGGGACAGAAAGAAGAACATATTAAATAGAAGGAATATTGGAGGTAGTAATATGGATAGGGTGACGAAGCTAGGATAAGAAATACCAATAGTTCAGGATGTGGCAACGGGAATGAAGCTCCAGTAGCTGAAAAGGATGGGTGGTCCTGCATGTCCATTTTGTGCTGGGATAAGCTGCTGGGAGAGTTACATCGACTCACTCTGAGAGACGGTCGTAGGAGAGTCATGTTTAGGCACATCAGGTTTGACTTACAGAAAACCGATGTATAGCAATTCGTCCATTACTCTTCACCCCTTCAACCCACCCTTAATCCTGGAAGGGGTCTGCCTCTTAAGTTACAGGTGTCCATGGACAGCGGTAGTCACTTATCAGTTCGTTTGCTCCTAATCATAAGGAGAAACCAGTCCACAAGTGATCTTGGCAGCAAGAACTGACTCGAATACTTTCTCACGAACAGGTTTTATGTTATTAAGTGCAATTATTTGCGGAAATCTTGTGTACTGAGTACGGATATTAGAAACTTTCAATTAAACTGTCAGCCTCTTAATTATGTTATATCTATATGTTGATCTGATGGGTAGTAAACGTGACTACTGATTCGGAGGTCGTGGATTCGATTCTAACAAAGGACAAATAGTTGTGTGATGAGCAGGATCATGTGTTCTAGTGTGTGGCTGTAATTTATTTATCTATGTACATAAAAATGGTTGGTTTGTTGTCAAAATTTCTGCACAGATTGAGCTTAAATTTTGACATGATAAACAACCCCCTACAAAGATTGGTTTTATCTGTTTTTGTGTGTCAGTTTTCTTTCCCATTGCTCATCAATGCCATCACAATGTGCCACAGGGAAGCTTGGCAGGGTACAGCTAGCTTAGAAGTTCAAAAGAACTAAGTCTTTTTTTTATATAATAGGGGGCAAACGAGCAGACAACTGATGGAAAGCGACTACCGCCGCCCATGAACGCCTGCAACTCCGAAATCATCGCCCTTTAAGTGAAGACCCCCCCCCCCCTTTGAAACTGGACTGGATTTCTTCGTCAACCGCACTCACTCGGTCTGAATGAAAACTCAATGAAATAATAGTTAAAAAGAATAATATTTTCGGACATCTAACTTCCACCGCCATCTAGTTTCAAACTAAACAGTGATTGTACTATGAAAGCTAGATTGACTGATAAAATACTATACATTTATTTTGTATATACATCCATTTTATACACATTTGCAGAACATCCAAACATTTGGTCCGACCCGAGAATCGAACCCAAGACCTTAGCATAGCAGTCGCATACGCTACCACTGCACCACCGAGGCAGTTAAACACCGGTTCAGGTCGTGGTATTACTCCAATCGACCCGGCCCATATTTGCCTGAATCACGCCTCTCCCACGGTTAAGTTCAACTAAGTGACTGTTCTAACAATTTCGTAGGAAAGTACTCAAAATGTGATGAAACGACCATAAAACCACATACTTAAAGTTCAAAATCGCGTGTCCATTGCACAAACGTGACAACAATCTTATTTTACACGCATTCAGAATTCTACGCAAATTCGTCACAGAGGATTTAAATATGAATCTTAAAAGCCATTCACAATTATACTAAATAAAACCTTACACAGTTAGTTATAAGGCTGCGTTTCGTATACATACACTCGCAAGCCGTTACGTACAAGACAGTAGAAATCTACGCAAATTCGTCATAGAGCATATTTACCTATTCATAAATCTTAAACGCCATTTAAAATTATACTAAATACAACCATACAGTATTCATTATAAGGTAGCTTTTCGTATACATACTCGGAAGCCGTTACTTCAGTTTGTATATTGACATTTACCAAAAAATATTTTAGTGCACAATATATAGCGATATTTATGTAAAAGTTCATTCCATTGCGTGTTCTCTTAGGACTACTAATATTTGTACTCAAATTAAATACGCAGTGTATTACAGTTGTTTTAATAAATCACGACAAAATGATTTTTCTTTTAAATCACATAATACTTATTATGTGACAGTGTTTATTATGCCTCTGCCTACCCCTTTGGGGATACAGGCGTGATTATTAGTCTCAACATTCGTGATGGTGATTAAGTATGATGCAATAATCACACACCGTATCGAGGCTACCATTTCCGGCGTTTTGTTCAGATCTCAAGTGTATTAAGTGAGTAACTCCTTTACTTTAAACCATTGTTTCTCAAACTTTTTTGTAATCCCTTGTACAGTAATTTGTATAATTCATACCAGCAGGGGTAATAATTTTTTTTTCTTCTATTCTCTTTTCTAGGGTATACCTGGTTCAACGGCTATTAGTACCCGAGACGGCGTGCGGTTTTAGTCGGTTCGAGTCCGACATGCCACCGATAGGTGGTAACCGAGGGGATTTCCGCACGGAAAAAAAAAAGGTTTCTTTTTTTTTAAACTAAAACACAATTGGATCACAAGTGGATCCTGATGGTAAGTGACCATAGCCGCCCATAGATACCTTCAAATCAGAAGTCAATTAAACTACATTATTACTCTTGGTATATTAAAAGTTTTATGTTTAATTAAGAGTTTAACGTTAAATTAGGAGTTTAATGTATATTAAGAGGCCAGGTGGAGTGACGATTTGCGCAAGATGGCTGGCAGGAGCTGGATGCGAGAAGCCCAAAATCGATCTAAGTGGCGTGCAATAGGAGAGGTCTATGTCCAGCAGTGGACTGCGATAGGCTGATGATGATGATGATGATGATGTATATTAAGAGTGTAATGTAATGATACCACGACTGCAGTGATACCACGAGCTAACAGAAAACCAGTGTTAACTTAGTAAGTAAGGGTACCGGAGCTTAAACTTCCCTCATCCAGATTCTTGGGGGAAGTCAAAAGACGGCAACGCACTTATAAGGATGGTGCAGCGGCGGTAGTCATCAGACGACCCCACTGCTTGTTTGCTCTCCTATCCCATTAAAAAAAAACGTCTCAGTCGAAATAGAAGATATTTAGTCCTTTGACCCCATTTTCACCCCTGTATATTTTACAAATTAAACTTTGAGACACACTGTCTCGAACAGATGCAGGTTAATTACAGATTGAGGTAAGGTTACAGTCCTTATTTGTACAGTTAACATTGGAAATCACCGAAAATAAGGAGACGTTTATTTTTGGATTCGATTACAATGGTAAGTGGTTACCAACAACTGTAAGCAATTGAAACAAGTTATATATTGATTTTTACATTACATTTGGTGACCTCTCGGAGATTCTGAATGTTAAGTTAGAAGTCGTGGGTTCGATTCCCCCCAAGGACAAATATATGTGATGAGAGCGATCATTTGTTCTGTGTCTAGATGACCATATCTATATGTATATAGTCCGTGTGGTGACGGAATAAGAATACGTAATGTCACCACCCCTATTCATCCCGTGGGTGTCGTAAGAGCCGACTAAGGGACCAAACTACACAGGACAACAGCACTGCAAAGAGAAGGAAAACTTGAAACAAACCCTATACCAACCCGTCGGGCCAGCGTGGTATAGTAGGCCAAAACCTCCTTTCTAAGGAGAGGCCTATGTCCAGCAGTGGACTGTTATAGGCTGTTGATGTGATGTGATATGTATATGTACGTTCATTTATAGCATAGGCTCTGCCTAGTTTGAGATCAGAAAGCCAATTCTCGTAATTAAAGTTTGGTCTCAATTCAGTTCCGATCAACTTTCGATCTCACAACTGTCATTCAAGGTTATTTCGTAGTAAAATAGTAATAATATAATAATAATAATACAATCACAATCACACCACGCCATCTAGTCCCAAACTAAGCATAGCTTGTACTATGGGTACTGGACAACTGATATAAATACATATACTTTTTTTTACTTTTACTTTTTTTTTAGACACACCCAGACCAAATCAAACATTAAATGTTCATGCACACAAATGCAATTGACATGAGCGGGAATCGAACCCACGACTTTTGGAATAGAAGTCCGTTACACAAACCACTACGCCATTCGGTCGTCAAATAGTAAAGTATTACTAAGACTAGCAGATTACTGATTCAATTTTCGATTACAATACGATATAATCACATTACAGTTAACGTTTGATGTTTAATAATTTACTACGAAAATACCTTTTATGACAGTAATAATAATACTATTTTCGGTCATCTGAGACACAACGCCATCTAGTTTCAAACTAAGCAGAGCTGTAACTATGAAAGCTAGGTTGACTGATAGAATACTTGTTATTTTTTTTTTGTAAATACATACATATTATACATAGGAAATACCCAAAGTTAGCACCAAAGACTTCCTTTCTAGGGTATACCTGGTTCCCGACTATTAGTACCCGAGACGGCATGCGGTTTTAGTCGGTTCGAGTCCAACATGCCAGCCACCGATAGGTGGTATCCGAGGGGATTTCCGCACGGAAAAAAAAAAGGAAACATCCAAAGTCCGAAACAAATATTTGCAGATCATACAAACATTTAGTCCGACCTAGGATAGATAGATAGATAGATAACTCTTTATTGTACAAAAAACATAATAAAAAAGAAGAAATCAGTTTGTATACATTGTGTGTCTTATATCTAAAGTTAAATTATTGTAACATGGAGAGTAAAGTATTAAAATTTGTACAATTGGCGGCCTTATCGCGTTTTGCGATCTCTTCCAGGCAACCACTGGATGGAGAAGGAGAATAGGAGTGAGATAGGGGGTTGCAGTTTGTAGATCGGAGTTTTTGTAAATTAAGACTATTTGATTATACAAACTAATTCAAACATATAGACTAAACACATACACACATCACTACACAATAAATTCATTACACAAAATATACATTTAACAGAGACTATAGAAGTAACAGACAGATAAATATAAGATTTCTGACTGAGTGAGGGGACCCTCGCTTAGCAGCTTCGGAAATGCTCCTTCAGCAACCTTTTGAAACAAGGCAGTGTTTGTGCTCGTCTGATGGGCAGTGGCAATGCATTCCATAAGCGTATAGACTGCACTGTAAATGACTTGTCCATAAAAGTCGAGGTGTGCTTCGGCATTTCCAAAGTCAAGCTCTCTGACGATCTTAAGGACTTTGAATGCGTATCACGTAGGAATCTGAAGCGTTCCTTTAAATAAAGGGGAGTGTTGGGATTAAAGAGA